CCCAGGTTCCCTCCCCACTTCCTTCCAAGAAGGAGCAGATGGCTGAGAGATACCATGACATCACACTCTGCCCCATCAGGTCCCAGAACTGAGAAGGGACAAGTGGGGGGGGGGGGAGAGGAAAAAGTGGCTCCAAGTGGCTCTTTACACATTGGGCTCCTTTTGTCCCCTAGGGTGTGACCTCTGACACCTCTGCCCCATTCTCTGCTAATCACTCTTTCTTTCATCAATTCCCCCCTCATCAGTTTGACAGTGCAATCCAGATATAACCCCATTCTTCATCTGATGTTGACCTCGCTCCCTCCAAGCAGACCTGTGGGTCAGGGTGGGGAGAGGTGGTAGGCAATCTGCTTCCCCAGTCTCCTGCAAGAGCACCCTCCCTTTTGCCATCTCCCGTGACAGTTTCCTTTCTTTAAAATGTCTACCAGTTCTGCAATTACATCAAAAATGGATACTCATAACAATAAACTCCCTATCCCCCAGTACACACACACACACACATACACACACACACACATGCATGCACACACTCCCTTTCCACGAACAGCACCAAGAAGCAGGATTTACTCATGGGTGGAAAATGGACCCCCCAGATGGCATTGCACTCAGCAGCCTTCTCAGCCCAAACCACTACATGGTTTAATCTGCTTTCTATTAATGGAACAAGGATTTGGTATGGAACTGTTGCAGCAAATAATGTTGGGAACTCCTTATCTGGCAAAAATGAAGCACCAGAGGTGACGCTATTGAGGATATTCACTACACACCGCCAAATAACACCTGTTTTCTTTGCAAATGCTATGCATATTGTGGTTCCAGAGGTACTGCTTAAGTTGCTCTTGGATATCAATCCACACTTACGCCTCAGTCTGAGGGAATGCATTGTTGCCCACAAAAGCTGACACGGAAATAAGTCTGCTGGTTTTCAGGGTGACATAATAGTTCTACTTTATTTTTATTTTGTTTCTGTCATGCATTGCTGAACCAGACTAACAGCTGCTTCTCTGAAAACTCAGCAATACAAAGATTTATATCAGAAAAAGAACAAATGTCCATAATGGCCTCCCCAAACTGGGAGTCCTCCCCCATGTGCTGTTAACCATGCCCTCTGAGGATGATGGGAGTTTTAGCCCCACACATCAAGAGTGCTGGTACCGGAGAGGCTAATCTGTGCAGATATTATGGTATTCTGATGCTTCCTTTAAGCACATACAATCCTGCAAAGTACAGCAACATTTGACCAAGGATACAGCAAGTTTTCTTAAAAAGCAAACACCATCCGAGTGACGCTACACATCATTACTGCAGAAAATGTCTGTAATAATAATTTAAAAATATTGCATGCATAGAAGTCAAAAGCAAGACTAGAAACACATAGTGGTGCCGGGAGAAAATGAATTCCTACGAACACCCATATTAGGAGGAGAACATTTTTGGAATGCTATGTGACAGGTTTGGAAGGAATCCTTTCAAGGAACAGGTAGTGGGGGGGGGCTTTGGTTTTAGCAACTGCTGCCTGTCCCTTCAAAATACGAGGTTGTTTTTTTTTTGCAGCTTCAGCTCCCAAGGGAAGGCGTATCAGCAGAAGGGCTTAAATCATTTACAAGCAGCCTGTCCACCATGAAGATGGATGTAGGTGGAGGGGAAGATGCACAGTGGGGATTAATCTTGTCCTGCTGGAACAGGCAAGAGGGGAGGGGAGCACTCCTAAAAGCTAATTGAATTATAGCGGGAACAGACCTATGGAAGATCTATTTGCATTACAAGAGAAGTCCCTTGGGAGAAGCGACTAACCTCCCCCCTCCCTTAGGCGCCTGCAGCAGGTAGCGCTCCTAGCAAAAGACCCAAGACGAACGGCGAAGCAGGGGGACAAGGGGCCGGCGGAGTTCGTGGCGGGGAGCGAAGATAAGCTCGCCACGCTCGGCAAGGAGGACCCGATGGGCTGGCTGGACAGTGTTGCGATAGGCAACCTGATACCTCGCCAGCCAAGGGGATCCCCGAGGGATCGGGGCGGGTGGGTGACTGAGAGGCATTGCCATCTCAGGAAACGACCACAGGGGCATCTTTACTGAAGGGGGGAGCGGAGGGCGAAGGTCCCGCTCGTTGGCTCTCCCGCCGACTTGCAGCGGTGCTCGCTGTTTCCATGGAGATCACAAGGGAAAGGCACTGTAGTTTTTCATCATCCTACTCTTTTAGGGGGTTCTCAGCCCAAAAGGGACGAGGGGGAAGGCTGGGGGACAGGGGGGTCCTCCTGGTAGAGGGAGAGGGGCCAGGCTGACCCACCGCTCCTTCGCTCCCTTCGAAACAACAAACTCGCGGGACCTCCGGATCCAGATCCCGAGCGCAAAAGAGAGCGAGCGAGCTCACCGCCTTGCCTCGAAGGCAGACCAGGGTGCAGAAGCCAGGTGCCGACTCACCTCTGGGAGCCCAGGCGACCACCGCGACTGCAAGCAGGAGCCAGCAGGGGAGACCGCGACGGGGCTCCATCCTGTCCGATCGGATCGGATCGATCGGATCCCTCCTTTGGTTCAGATTCCCACGCCCGCCAAGGCGGGG